AAAAATAAAAGTCCCTGCCAAAGTGTCTTTGCCTAAGTGAAATTTTAGCAGTTGATAAATAACCCACAACGGAAAACACAAAAAGATCGCACTGAGTGATATGACACGGTGAGAAACACTCTTTGCTTTAGATGTGAGTGTTTGTGTCAGTGGTAAACACCATACAAGACACTTGGTGGCGGTCATTTTCGATCTCTGCTTTTAACACACTTACCTCTACATAAGCAAACACTTACTAAAGTTCAAAGCGTTCATTCCTTATTAGAAAAAAAGATCAATATAAGGATCTAATTTTGTGAATTTAGTATTGATATTTGGAATATCGAGTCTTTTTATCCCGACATTATGGGGTACAGCGATACTTTAAATGAGTACTATATCGATACTTTCGGTTCCATATCGTGTTCCTAACCGTATTACAAAGCAAACAAAATTTGTTATTCTTATTCGATATTTCTTAAATAATTAATTTGCGAAGTGGACCGAAATGGAAGTGAACAAGAATTCAAATTTGTTATAATAATAATTGAAACTTAAAACGGGCTGTATAAAGAAAACCAGCCTTTTGTCACTTCGCGTCAAATGAGTTATGTGCTTATACCTGTTTTCTAACCGATGTGAGAAATAAAAAAGCGATTTGAAAACAAATTCGAGCCAATACACTTTTGAATTTCTAAGCGTATTGAAAGTTGGTTTATGCTTCCGTTTTGAATCATAGCGAACTGGGTCAAAGCGCTTTATGTGTTGGCACAAACAATGTAAATATTTTTCCGAAATATTTTGATGGAAGTCTTAAAATTCAATAGAATTTAAAATTCCACTGGAAACACATACCTTGTTTATACCAATGTAAGAACCGCATTTATAATGAACCGATTTGACTCAACACATATTTCTTTCAAAAGTTTATACCTGTTTCTTTAAAGCGCCCTCGCTGAAACCGTATTCAAAAATAAACAAAATTTGTTATTTCTTTAATAATTAATTTGCGCGATTGGCCGAAATAGAAGCGAACAATAATTCCAATCCTTACTAATATTATAAATCCGAAAGTGAGTTTGTTTGTTTGCTACGTTTTCACGCTTTAACTACTCTACCGATCATCATGAAATTTTGTACACTCTTGTCATTTAGCCCAACTTAAAATATAGGATACATTTAATCTCGATTAGAAAAGGGGGCATGGCACCTCCCATACAAACGGAATTTTTCATACTGCATTTCTCAGGAAACATTTTTGGTAGATTACTGGAAATTGGTATGGAGATATATAAAATCATTATCAACTTATGGATAAGAGCTGCCACCTTTTACAAAAAGTCAAATTCAACTTCAATTAAGGGAGTTATTTATTTGAAAATTATATTAAAACAAGAATACGCCCCATTATTTTTATGAACTTTCGTATTTGAAATTATCATATTTTTTTTTCTTAGTAACATTTAATTTAAGTTTGTTTTGACATAATTTTTTATAGAGTATTTTTAAATCATTATTTAATTGTAGAGTGGCTTCGTCGATTGAATCGGCAATGATATATACAGGTGTGTAATCTGCAAATAATCTGAAATAACGATTCTCTGGAAGGGGGAGTATTGTAGGGTTTATGCTTTATATTGCACTTGCTTCATTACTTTACTTTGTTAATTTTGATATTTTCGATATACCTAAGTTAGCTTTGTGAAATGTAGATCAAAAAGAAAATTTTTCTCATATACACACATACATATAATTATTTAGTAAAAAATAAAGGTAGAATGTCGAGATCATTGGCAGCAAAGGCTTCCTTAGCTACTCGAGTTGACGCCTTTGGAGAGGAGGCGAGTTGTGAACTAGGAGCAACTCATGAGGTGAAACTAGAGGCACGCCTGCGATCGCTGGAGGAAGGCAACCTACGCAGACTTTCTGGCACTGGAAAAGCAAACGCCATATTCAAAAAATATCAGGCTAAAAGGTAATATTTGAAAACCACATGTGTTTGTAAATCAATCTCTTTCCACAAAAATGATGTTTCGCATATTTCCGATCACATGAAGTGACAATAAAGCTTGGCTGTCTGATTGTGCAATAAAATAGTTTGCAAACATGAAACTTTATTTTTTTAAACAGTATTAACGGAAATTTTAAATTTATTGCAGCGAGGTATTTCTTTTGGAACTCGAGGCTGATAGCACAATATCCGTTAAAAAGCGAGAACACTCAGAATCATCTCCAGCTGAAGTTCAGGATGAATCAGTGGTTGAAACTAGTGAAAATCAAGATGAAAGTACAGCTGGGGTAGAAAAGAAAAAGAAAAAGAAGAAGAAGAAGAATGAATCCGAGGCTGATAGCACAATATCCGTTAAAAAGCGAGAACACTCAGAATCATCTCCAGCTGAAGTTGAGGATGAATCAGTGGTTAAAACTAGGGAAAATCAAGATGAAAGTACTGCTGGGGTAGAAAAGAAAAAGAAAAATAAGAAGAAGAATGAATCCGAGGCTGATAGCACAATATCCGTTAAAAAGCGAAAACATTTAGAATCATCTCGAGTTGAAGTTCAGGATGAATCAGTGGTTGAAACTAGTGAAAATCAAGATGAAAGTACAGCTGGGGTAGAAAAGAAAAAGAAAAATAAGAAGAAGAAGAAGAAGAATGAATCCGAGGCTGATAGTACAATATCCGTTAAAAAGCGAAAACATTTAGAATCATCTCGAGCTGAAGTTCAGGATGAATCAGTGGTTGAAACTAGTGAAAATCAAGATGAAAGTACAGCTGGGGTAGAAAAGAAAAAGAAAAATAAGAAGAAGAATGAATCCGAGGCTGATAGCACAATATCCGTTAAAAAGCGAAAACATTTAGAATCATCTCGAGCTGAAGTTCAGGATGAATCAGTGGTTGAAACTAGTGAAAATCAAGATGAAAGTACAGCTGGGGTAGAAAAGAAAAAGAAAAATAAGAAGAAGAAGATGAATGAATCCGAGGCTGATAGCACAATATCCGTTAAAAAGCGAGAACACTCAGAATCATTTCCAGCTGAATTTCAGGATGAATCAGTGGTTAAAATAGTGAAAATCAAGATGAAAGTACAGCTGGGGTAGAAAAGAAAAAGAAGAAGAAAAAAAGAAGAATGAATCCGAGGCTGATAGCACAATATCCGTTAAAAAGCGAAAACATTTAGAATCATCTCGAGCTAAAGTTTTGCATATTTCCGATCACATGAAGTGACCATAAACCTTGGCTGTCTGATTTCCAAAATTTAGGCAGTCTTTTAAAATAAAATAATGTACGACCACATAACACTTTAAGCTTTATTTAGCAATGAAGTACTATATAATCACCGCACTAAATTAGTTAGAATAGTTATAAGCAAGCCTTTATCTTGATGTTTTGTTGTTTTTTGAGAGCAAAAAATCAACAGATCAGAAGGATTATATTAGAAATAAATTCACAAATTTAATACTGTTTCGCAACCAATAAGTGGCATAGCCAAGAATTAATTTATGGAATTTGTTAATCAGTTACATTCTTCGCAAGGTTTAAAAAAAAAAAACTATATAAATCCGATTTCCAAACTTTGGACGATAATAATAAAAAAAAAATTATTAGAATTGCAAACGCTTTAATTAAAATTTCTAGAAAATATTTTGGTATGCAGATTATTTCAAGAAATTTTAGCCACAAAGCTTGCAATTCTAATAAAACTTTGTGGAATTTCTTTAATTTTTGCACAAAGTTTGGAATAATGAGCTCAATTTTTATAAAAAAACAAACATTAGCGAAAAAATTTTAAATGAATAACAAAGGGAATATTATATAAAGATGTATACGATTTTAACTGCCTAACCAGAATGCTCTAAACTGCCCACAATATGTAGCTGTGGTTATGGTATATTATTTCTGATGTAGCTAGCGAAATAGCTGGTGGCTGTGGTACTACATTTCGTTTAGCCAGTAAGTATGAGTCACTATACTTGTTTATTTTATTTTTTTACCTAAATAGTCAGTAAATTTGTACTCAGTGAAAAATGGAAATATACATTTGTTTGATTTATGCATTCTAAAATAATAAGTTGCTATTCATTTTAAACTAATTTCAAATCCGTTTTTTTATTTCCAGGTAGCTTTAAAATTTTAATACTTTATCATAAAGTTTCAGTTTGTATAAGTAAACATCGCCAACAAAGAGGCACACGCACCTGAGAGTAAAGTAATCCCCATCAAATTTATTTTTAAACGCTACTGAGGAAACGTCAAACTAGACTGAATGTATCTGTGAATATACATATGTAACAAATGGAAACACATACCTTGTTCATACCAATGTAAGAACCGCATTTATAATGAACCGATTTGACTCTACACATATTTCTTTCAAAAGTTTATACCTGTTTCTTTAGAGAGCCCTCGCTGAAACCGTATTCAAAAATAAACAAAATTTGTTATTTTCTTTCGATATTTCTTTAATAATTAATTTGCGCGATTGGCCGAAATAGAAGCGAACAATAATTCCAATCCTTACTAATATTATAAATCAGAAAGTGAGTTGGTTTGTTTGCTACGTTTTCACGCTTTAACTACTCTACCGATCATCATGAAATTTTGTACACTCTTGTCATTTAGCCCAACTTAAAATATAGGATACATTTAATCGCGATTAGAAAAGGGGGCGTGGAACCTCCCATACAAACGGAATTTTTCATACTGCATTTCTCAGGAAACATTTTTGGTAGATTACTGGAAATTGGTATGGAGATATATAAAATCATTATCCACTTTTGGATAAGAGCTGCCACCTTTTACAAAAAGTCAAATTCAACTTCAATTAAGGGAGCTATTTATTTGAAAATTATATTAAAACAAGAATACGCCCCATTATTTTTATGAACTTTCGTATTTGAAATTATCATTTTTTTTTTCATAGTAACATTTAATTTAAGTTTGTTTTGAAATAATTTTTTATAGAGTATTTTTAAATCATTATTTAATTGTAGAGTGGCTTCGTCGATTGAATCGGCAATGATATATACAGGTGTGTAATCTGCAAATAATCTGAAATAACGATTCTCTGGAAGGGGGAGTATTGTAGGGTTTATGCTTTATATTGCACTTGCTTCATTACTTTACTTTGTTAATTTTGATATTTTCGATATACCTAAGATAGCTTTGTGAAATGCAAATCAAAAAAAAAAATTGTCTCATATATGTACATACATAGATATAATTATTTAGTAAAAAATAAAGGTAGAATGTCGAGATCATTGGCAGCAAAGGCTTCCTTAGCTACTCGAGTTGACGCCTTTGGAGAGGAGGCGAGTTGTGAACTAGGAGCAACTCATGAGGTGAAACTAGAGGCACGCCTGCGATCGCTGGAGGAAGGCAACCTACGCAGACTTTCTGGCACTGGAAAAGCAAAAGCCATATTCAAATAAAAAATGCGTTTGTAACACCGTACACATGATAGAAGTGAAACTTCTTAAAAAAGGTGTCAGTACTAGGTACCTACTCACGAAATTGGATGTGTAAACATATGTTTACGGTTCGGCAAACCATTAGGCGATTGAGTTACATACATAGGTTTGGTTAGAAATCAAACAATAATTTCATTTCATCTTATTAATTTTCTGATATACATATAATTTATTTATTCATTTTCCGGTAACACCACCTTATATGAACTCGCGCCTCTAGCATCCATAGGACCGGGTTGTAATGGAAGTAATTGTATGTTTAACAAATAAATGAAAATGTTTATAATGCAATCAATAGATCCTTACGAATTCGCCATTACCAAAGCACTAAGTAACGTACGCACTTTTGTTTGCAAAATGCATTTAT